GAGGGCAGAACTGAAAAATGCAGTATTTGAAAGTGGCGCCCGAATTGCAGCATGGCGCCAGTTGTCCAAAATCCTACGGGACCAAAGGAGGGGTTTGGAAAAAGGGTGCCAGGCCGAAAACGGGATGCAGCTGAAACAACAAAAGATAGACCAGGGATCGAGCCCTGGCAGAGTCCGTAACAAGCTCCCCCTCCTCTCTCTATCTCTCTTTCTTTCTCTCTCTCACTCTTTGTCTCTCTCTCATACTCATAACAATAAATGGAACAAAACTTTCTCTATCTCTCTTTCTTTCTCTCGCACACTTTTTGTCTCTCTCTCATACTCATAATAATAAATGGAACAAAACTCTCTCTCTCTCTCTCTCTCTCTCTCTCTCTCTCTCTCTCTCTCTCTCTCTCTCTCTCTCTCTCTCGCGTGTGCACTCTTAGTCTCATTGCTTGGGCTACCTTAGGGCTGTGTTCCCCATGCCCATGTGGTAGACAATCAATCATTCAATCAACCACGTCCCGTACGATCGTCGGGGGCATGCGAACGGGCCGTACCCATCTGACGGGAGGACGTAGCGCTGAACGCCCGTGTGCACGGAGGGCCCTGGGCTGCTCGAACGGCACACGCGACTGCACGAGCTGTTCCAACAGCCCTATCAGTTTATGCACGCTGAGGGGCCCTTATTTGTTTTTTTGTTCGTTTTCTTTGTTTTTTTTTGGTTCCCGGGGTCGGCGTGGTGCCCGCACCCCTCCCAGGCCCCTCCCCCGGTGCCGCCCACCCCCTCCATGACCAACAGCAAACACGTTCATCACGTGCAGTCGCGTTTATTGAACGCGCGTTCAAAGCGTTAAAGAACTGAATGCGAAACGCACATTCAATGGGCGCACGGTTCCATACTTCTCCTTGCATTTCCATACTAACCTTTACCAATAAAAAAGGAAAAAGAAGGAATAATGGAAACAGTGGCCAAACTGCCTTTCGTACATGCTTCGATTGTTCGTCAATACAGAACAGCGCACACTCATCTCAGCACACGCGCATATTCTCCGACACGTTTCGATCGGTTACGCTCCGATCATCTTCCGGGGTCTAACCACACACCCTCGCCTTGCGGCCCACCAGACAATCCTTCCTTCTGAGAACTGAGGGCCGATAAGGCCTTGCCCTCCAATATACTGAATGTCAAGTTGGACGCTTCGTCAGCACGACACTTCCACCCCTAACGGGCACTTCCACGAGCTACTACGGCCACGGCTCGACTGCTACCTAGATGTTGCGACGAGCGCTATAGTATCCGTTACTAAAAAGTCGACGTGACGTCTGAGCCTGCAAGTCAACTTTCCCCGTATGTTCACGTGGGTCCCGTACAGTGACTAACGTCTCTCTCCAACGATCACGTTTCTCCTTCAATCTTCCTTTCAATAATAGATGATCTCTCATTGGTCCACACTTTTCTCTGCTTTAACTCCTCATTGGGCTAACTCGTGCGTTGCGGATCCCTCCCTACTATCCTAGTACGTGGCACTCTGGTCCAGTCAGTTACACGTGTGTACGCGCGTGACTGTATTTTCAAAAACCGACAACCGTGACCTGTACAATTTCAAAATCCGAGACTCGTATTTCCCGCTCTATCAGCCGTGCGGGTAGTCCGGTAGTACCGTACCTGGGCATCCTCACTGGCAGCGGGGCTACCGTGGCATCGCCACGTAATTCCTAGGGCAAAAATAGGAAACGAAACAATAATTTACATGTGTCAGCAAATAAATTAAAAATCCTACTTAAAAGTCCTGGTCATGTCAGGACAATCCGGTAGTACCGTATGGAATTACATACTCACGTGGAGCAATTATCATTACGATGACTGCTATTCCTGACGTAATTTTCTCCTATGCTAACTAGTGCTGAAAATTACCGTAGCTACAGTCTCGTTTTCAGAGTTGATTCCCCTTCTCGGGCTTCTGTCGCGTGCTGTCTTTCCACAGTACCAGGTTCTCGAGCAGCCTAATCCAGGGCTCCTTGAGAACGTTGGTGCCCTTAGCAAAGCGTGCTAGGGCTTTGAAGAAGAAGAAGAACGCCGGGGGGTAACCCAGGCGTAGGAGCTCGTACTTAAGTGCCAGAACCGGCAGGACCAGCGTGCTTTCGCTGTTCGCCATCTGCTGAATGTGGTGAAGACAACCGATTATAGCACCTATCTTTGCCCGCTTGTCGGAGTAGGAATTGAAGTCTTGAAAGCAGCGGTGTACCAATCTCTGTTGCACTTCGCCCATCCGGACTTCCAGTCTGTTCTTGATCTTTGGCTCAAGCAGGAACTGGGTCCTCTTAGGTACAATCGTAAGCTTTGATCCCACGAAGTCAATGGTGTTTGAACCGTCGTCCGTGCAGACCAGCGATAGCTTCTTTCCATAGCAACTTCCAAACTTTCTTAAAATCTCTCGAGCCATGCCGACGGAGCTTTCCTTCCTTCGGTTACATACTACTGCCAACATCGCATCGTCCATGAAGCTTACCCCATGGACAAGCTTCCGGTCACTTCCCAGTGATCTCAAAAAACTCTCCTCGTACTTCGCACAAAGTATGCATGTCAGTGGGGGACTGGAGTTCTTCCCCATTGGCACACCGATAACCTGCTTCAACATCTTTCCTCTGCACTTGGTGTAGGTATGCTGCAACTTGAAGGAGATGAAACTCCGGATGTAGGTGAAAGAAAACTTGACGTAACCTTTCCCGTACGCCTTCCTCCCGAGAGTAACTTGTTTCCTCCTCTTGCACACCGTGATCTTCAGAAACCCTTTCTTCTCCCATTCCCCCAACAGCCAGTTGAGTGCTCCCATGATAGTTGAGTGCGGGAGTGATGTAAACATCTCCTTAATGTTGAATCCCCCACTGGTAGTCAACGTGTCCTTGCCATACTGCTGGAGTTTCGTCTCTGCCTTCTTCAGGTTTTGCTCGAGTCTAGCGGTAGCAGTGAGGTTAAAATGCATCACTCCAGGTAGCTTCTCGAGCAAGAAGTTGAGCGCCCTCGCAATCCAACGGCTGCCCGTCGTCGTGTGCTCGCTGCACGCAGCACGCAGGCGCAATGAGCCGCCATTTCTCCAAATCTTTGTGTTTGGGTAGCACGTAAGCATTGCCCAACCGCCCCTTCGGATTCCAATTAACCAGCTTGTGCAGGCCCTGATTTTCAAAATCAGTCTTCATTTCCTTCATGATCACCGCTTCACTCCTGCTAACTTCATCATTTGCTACGTTCCAAGCAAATAGTTTATCCAGACCATGCTGGTATGTCGAGGGACACATCAGCACGAGGTCTCCCGCGTTCCTGTCCACTTGGGTGACGATCAGGTCCCTGAACTTGTTCTTGACTGCAAGGACTATCCCTTCGTCGACGCTACAATGCTGATCACGCTCTGCCGAGAAACAATCTGCGATTTGGAGATCCGACAGCTGCTCGCCCAGTTTACCATTCAGTACAGAAGCGAGGCCCGATCGTAGGCCGCTGCTGATTTCCTCTTTCGTTGTCTCGATTTTAGGCCGGACCACGTTCTTTCCGTTCCGCACCAAGGCCGACAGTCCTGGGATATCACCTATCCTTGCCAGTACATGCCCCTTGACTGCGGGTAAGTCATAGTGCTTGCAAGTGCACAACAATTCCGACATCCTACTGTGCTGTTTGTGGTTACACAGGATTTCGGCTACATGCCTGTTTCTCCTCCAGAGTATTCTCGATTTCCTCCTGACGATCCCCGCGATAGCGGGATGCAGCCCACAGCTTCCGATTTTCGTGATCAGGATATTTCTGATGCCGCTCTTCCTCACCTCCTTACTATATCTGATTTTAACTGTCATTCGCTTTCGGATGTTCACCTCGGCTTTCCTTCCCACTACCTTACCTAGGAAGTCCCTGATCGTCTTCCTCTTTTCCTTCTCCTTGAATGACCCAGCACAGTTGCATAGGTGCATGAGTTTGTCAACGGATAAGAGCGATAGTTCCTTCCGTTTGAAGGGCATCTCCAGTAACTGCCGCAAGTAACCCTTCCCCCTGTTTCTGGCGTTTTGCGTGAGGACGATGGGGGCAATCCAGAAATCACCCCCCTCTTCGAACCAGGTTTTTTAGTGGGACAAGGCAATCTTCCCCACTTGAGTTACGACAGTCGAAGTCCCGAACATTTTCCTGACTAACAACCAGTCTTCTCCCCAAACCTGACCACCGGCGCTATGAATCCGGATTTGTTTCGTCCCTTCCTTATGGGTTGAGTACAGAACAGTCCGTAGGCTAGTGTTACCTAGCGAGTAACTACCCGTCCGGAAGACAATAACGTGAGTCCGCTTCTCCTCAGTATCTACCCTATCTTTGTCGGCCTTTGCTTTCCTTTCCCTCCTACCCGGCTTCTTCTTGGGATTACCTTTCAATCCCGTCCCTAGAGAACCTCCTGATGAGCGTCCTTTCCAGGCTTTCCAACCCACTAACTTTTGAAGTGGCAATGGGAATAACAACGTAATTGTTCCAGCTAAACCTCCTCAGCCATCTATACAGTAGCGGTGCCCTACCTTCCGTGCCTGACTCCGTACATCTAACATGCTCCCACCATCTTTCCGCGGCGCCTCTAATGGATTTGCCGACGTAAGCCTTCCTACACCATGGCGAAACGAGACAATATACAACTGGTTGCCTGAAGTCACTCCAACTCCAGCCTCGTGGCACTACGTCCAAGAACTTTCTCGCCCACGGAATATGGCCCACTAACGTTAGTAATATCGTGCAAGGGGTACACGCCTTCTCTGTGACCAGTCTAAGTTTCGAGAGCCCTGTGTGCCCCCAGATTGTCTCTCTTAATGACAGGAGAGTGACAATATAAGCCCAGATGAGCTTTGTTGGGGGCGCACACCGTCATTGAACCTGAATGTCTTCACACTCATAGGTCTCATCCAGCTGCTCGACGTCTTCGCCCCATGCTGCTCTGTTGAGAAGCTCCCGTACACCTTGTTCTTTAGAAACATAGGTAATGTCTCTCGCCTCGCAAAGCTTCTTTACCTCTCGCCATTCCTTTGCCATCAACCTGGACCTAATATCTAGGATGTTATTTACCAGGCTCCCATTACCGCCCGATGCTGGGTACTCTTTACCCACGGAGTTGTTCTTCACCGACGTGCTGGTCTTCCGCCCGAGGCTCTTCTCGTAGTCCGCCCTTGACATAACTCGTGCTTCCTCCTCCCAGTCATCTGGTGCTGCGTAGTTCCTCGCTATTTGTTTGCCTCTTGCTTTCTTCGGTGGTACGTTCGCTCCATCATCCGTAAAGACTTCTTCCTCCGTAAGGTAAGTATCGAGTCCGTTCACAAACGCCTCTCTATCCCGTTTTGGAGTCCTGGCGTTTACAGCTAATGCCATCTGGATTTCTGTTCTTATCTCCGCTCGGAGATTGCGTAGGTCCCTTGAAACTGCAGCAATCGTTCTTAGCTCCGCCTCCTCAATTTTCCTATCTCTTCGGTCGCATTCCTCCGACATCATCCTTCGAATCTTCTCCTCTCGCCTCTCTTCTTCCATTTGCAACTTTCTGCGCTCGCTTCCACCCTTCGTCTCTCCTCTTCCGCTTTTTTGTTATCCTCTTTCTCCATTTCCTTCTGCATCTTGTAATCTGCCCATCTCACCACTCGGTTTATGCTATCCTCATTCTCCTTTCTTGACTGCCAGTACTTCGCATCGCCATGTGACCAGCCTGGTTGCAGTTAAAGCAAATAATCGAGCTGCTTACCCCGCCAGCTCCGGTCCCTACATTGTCCACTTACGCCATGCTGTTGCTATCCGACGTACAATAGCTGGTTCCCACGGATCCCGTCTAGTATCTGCAACTACCGCAGATGCTTGCCACTGAGAATTGGCACGACTATCTCGCTGTAGCCCTTGTCTCGCCGTTGCCTGCAGCCAATCTCGCTGTTCCTGCAACCTTGGTTGAAAACTCTCGTTAAGAAACTCGTGCAGGAACTCGTGAAGAACAATGACCTGTCGAGTCGTCGACACAACCACCAGACGCTTGCCACTGAGAATTGGCGCGGCTATCTCGCTGTAGCCCTTGTCTCGCCGTTGCCTGCAGCCAATTTCGCCGTTCCTGCAACCTTGCTTGAAAATTCTCGTGAAGAAACTCGTGCAGGAACTCGTGAAGAACAACGAACTGTCGAGTTGTCGACACAGCCACCAGTGTGAGTATCTCCTCTCATCCGGTTACCATGCTACACAAAATAGTGGAAACAGTGGCCAAACTGCCTTTCGTACACGCTTCGATTGTTCGTCAATACAGAACAGCGCACACTCATCTCAGCACACGCGCACATTCCCCGACGCGTTTCGATCGGTTGCGCTCCGATCATCTTCAGGGGGCTAACCACACACCCTCGCCTTGCGGCCCACCAGACAATCCTTCCTTCTGAGAACTGAGGGCCGATAAGGCCTTGCCCTCCTACATACTGAATGCCAAGTTGGACGCTTCGTCAGCACGGCACTTCTGCCCCTAACGGGCACTTCCACGAGCTACTACGGCAACGGCTGGACTGCTACCTAGACGTTGCGACGAGCGCTATAGTGTCCGTTACTAAAAAGTCGACGCAACGTCTGAGCCTGCAAGTCAGCTTTCCCTGTATGTTCACGTGGGTACCGTACAGTGACTAACGTCTCTCCAACGATCACGTCTCTCCTTCAATCTCTCATTGGTCCACACTTTTCTCTGCTCTAACTCCTCATTGGGCTAACTCGTGCGTCGCGGATCCCTCCCTACTATCCTAGTACGTGGCACTCTGGTCCAGTCAGTTACACGTGTGTACGCGGGTGACTGTATTTTCAAAAACCGACAACCGTGACCTGTACAATTTCAAAATCCGAGACTCGTATTTCCGGCTCTATCGGCCGTGCGGGTAGTCCCGTAGTACCGTACCTGGGCTGCCTCACTGGCTGCGGGGCTACCGTGGCATAGCCACGTAATTCCTAGGGCAAAAATAGGAAACGAAACGATAATTTACATGTGCCAGCAAATAAATTAAAAATCCTACTTAAAAGACCTAGTCATGTCCGGACAATCCGGTAGTACCGTATGGAATTACAGACTCACGCGGAGCAATTATCACTACGATGACTGCTATTCCTGACGTAATTTTCTCCTACGCTAACTAGTGCTGAAAATTACCGCCGGTACGGTCTCGTTTTCAGAGCTGATTCGCCTTCTCGGGCTTCTGTCGCGCGCTGTGTATCCACCCTGTCCGCAGTCCAACATTAGCAGCAGGAGAGTATGGAAATAAGTAATTCACACAATGCAATGCGCAAGCTTTGATTTCCTGCTGCTCAAAGCGAAGAGGTCGATGCAGTGAACGATGCATCGTCAGGAATACTCTTTCATCATAGCCACTGCCAGCCGTCAAATCTGCAGTCCAAAAGGTTTTCCCGACTTGTCCTTGTTCCTCGCTCTCTCATCTCTCTCCTTTTTACACTTACGCAAAGGAAGTAGCACGCGAGAGCACAGAAAACAAAAAGTTTCTGAGCAGCAAGAAGAACTCATTGAAGACCATGCAAGTGAAAACAGATAGACAAGGCCGAGAGCACACCAATCCACGAACACACCAAAAACTGAAGCGTCTCGGTAATGAAAGCCAGCCATCTTCACGCCTCCACAAATCAATACAACAACAGATAATAGCCCTAAGTCATGACGAGTCCGCCGGTACCACTTCCCTACTCTAGCCTACCATCTGGCCTTCCGTCCCTCACTCTGTGTCTACTTTCAAATGCAATTCTTCACTCTAGGTGCGCACACCAACACACACACCCAATCTAACAATGCAACTTCATTCTTCAATTTGTGTGCACACACCCACAAACACACATTTAATATATAGAACGCGAACTCAATGCTTCACTCTACGTGTGCACCCACACCCACACACAATCAACCCAATGCAGACTTGATTTTCTACTCTATGCGTGCCCAGCCATACACACACACACACACGCACACACGCACACACACACGCACACACACACACACACACACACACACACACACACACACACACACACACACACACGCATACATATGGAGCCTGCTGTGTCAGGTATGTTGCCTTCTGCCCTTTACCTTTGTTTTTATAGATTAACAAAACTATACATATTTGTGAAAGCGTGCCGCTTCGGCGGCAAACGGGTGTGTGCGCACTTCCGCTCAACCACACAAA